TAAGAACCTTAATATCAATTTGGTGTTCAGTAGTAATACGATCAAGTCTAATTTAATAAAAACCTCCCCTGGTACAGCTGGTTGTGTGTATTCAATACCCTGCAATGATTGTGAGTCTGTGTATCTTGGACAAACTGGAAAATCCTTACAATTACGTATGTCCCAACATGCTTATAGTATAAGAACTGCCCAAACGTCTAATGCTTTGTATCTACATACAAGTTTGTGTGATCACACTATTAATTGGGATGGGGCGAAAAGCATTGCCAATTGCAATGGCTTTGTGGAACGGAATTTAATTGAGTCTGCCCTAATTAGTCAATGTCCAAATCTTCTCAATGTTAGTACTGGTATGTACAAACTTGACCCTGTTTTAAGTTACAATATTGCACAACAGTTTAAGAAAAAACCATGATAGTTATATTGTCTCATAACAATATTATTTCAATATTTTATGTAGGTTCAATGAGGTTGTTCCTTTAAGCTTTTATTCTTACTGCTTAAATCCTTCTGACTACTCTAAGCTAATCTATACCTTTTTCTGGTTAATTCTTTCCCCAAGGAGATGGTGGTCAGGTCTAGTGTCTGCTTCCACTCTCTCTTTGCGATTTCTTTCAGTCAGGTGTTGACAAAGGCCCAGATCGGCCGAAACGTTCATGTCTCTTTCCGATTTCTCTGTGGATTTTCCACATGCAAATGATCAGTGTTTAGTGATCATCAATTGCATATAGTATACATATATTTTATAGAAAGATGCATGGAATTTCTAAATGTGGTTCTCTTATTTCAGATGAACATTGCAAAGAGCATCTGTCATGCAACATCAGTCACAGCACGTACTTCAAAGGCATTTTCCAATCAAAACACCATTCAAGCATGCGGTTGTGTGCAGCTGTACTTGGATGCTTTGCAACTATTCATTAACTGTCTCAATGTAGGTACAATATAGGTTTTAGTTATCCCATGGGTATTTATTATTGTATTCCCATACCCAGTATTTATTCAGTATGGCCATGAAGTTAATATGTTGTGGTGTTGTATTATTTACCTTATTTGATGCCATCATACTGTTCAGTAAACAGTATGATTCCTGGGTTGAGTTCTGGCTCTTTGGTCCTAGCTCTCAACTATCAACTGGTGTACAGATTCCTGAGCCTAATGGGCTCTTATCATCTTATCATTTCTACATTTGAAACTGTGTATGGAGTCTGCCTCCACCACTCATTACTTAATGCATTCCATTTGTTAACTACTCTGACACTGAAAAAATTCTTTCTAATGTCTCTTTGGCTCATTTGGATACTAAGTTTCCACCTGTGTCCCCTTGTTCGTGTTCCACCTATGCTAAAGTGTTTGTCTTTGTTCACCCTGTCAATTCCCCTGAGAATTTTGTAGGTGGTTATCATGTCTCCCCTTACTCTTGTGTTTTCCAGGAACTTGAGCTTCAGCCCTTTTAGCGTTTCCTTGTTGCTCATACCTCGTAGTTCCGGGAGAAGCCTGGTGACATACTGCTCAATCTTCTCTAACTTTGTCTTGTGTTGAACTAGTTATGGACTCCAGGCTGGAGCTGCATATTCCAGGATTAGTCTGACATAAGTGGTATACAGGGTCCTGAACGTTTCCCTACACAAGTTTCTAAAGGCAGTTCTTATGTTGGCCAACCTAGCATATGCCGCTGATGATATCCTTTTGATGTGGGCCTCTGGGGATAGGTTTGATATGATATCAACCCCCCAGATCTTACTCTCTATTTGACTCTTGCAGGATTTCATCTTCCAGATGGTAACTTGTGTTTGGCCTTCTGTTCCCTTCGCTGAATTTCATTACTTCACACTTTCCTAAGTTGAACTTTAGTAGCCATTTTCTAGACCATTCCTCTAGTTTGTCCAAGTCATCCTGTAGTCTCTGTCTATCTTCATCTGTCTTGATTTTTCTCATAATTTTTGCATCATCAGCAAACATTGAGAGGAATGAGTCTATTCCCTTTGGAAGATCGTTTACATATATTAGGAACAGGATGGGTCCAAGTACAGAGCCCTGTGGGACTCCGCTGGTGACACCTCACCACTTTGGTGTGTGTGTGTGCGGGGGGAGGGGATAAAAAAATATAGGTTTTAGTTAGTAACAGTTGATTGATTGACCGTAGAGAAGCGGGCCGAAAGAGCAGAGCTCAACCCCCGCAAGCACAACTAGGTGAATACACATACCCTAGGAAGCAGCCCATAACTAACACTAGAGACACTAACCCGTGGTGTTGGTTAGTGTCTCTGACCTCAGGTGTTTTGGCGTGTGTGTCTTCCATTTTGGCGTCTCTCTCTTCCTCCGGGGTTAAGGAACTGGTTGGTTTAAATCGTGGAGAGACTGGCTTCTCACTTTCGTTGCCTTACTTTTGATTTGGCCCTGGGACTTTGCGTATTCTGCTTCTTACCCAGTTCGTGGTGGCCTGTCTTAGTCTGCTAGGGGTTCGGGTTTGGCCTACCTCGATGACTGGTTGGTGTGGGCTCCCAGTCGGTCTGCTTGTCTGCTCACCAGAGGGGTGGTTCTTTCCCAGCTCGCTGGGTTCCGGTTCTTGATGTACTGGGGGTAGTCCCATCTGGTTCCTTCTCCGGTTCAGACCTGGCTGGGTCTTTTGTGGGACACTCTGACTGCTTCCTTGTCTCTCCCTCCGAAGTCTCTGCTGTGGCTGCTGTCCCGCCTTTGGCTGTTTCTGGGGGGGGGGGGGGGGGTTCCCAGGTCATTCTGTGGATGCTCAAGCAGCTGTGCGGGAATCTGATCTTCGCCTAGCTAGTCTACCTGCCAGGTCGTGTTTATCTTTGGCGTCTGTTCTGGTTCCTTCGGGAACGTCCCTTCTACCTCTCTTGCGATCGATGGGTTTGGCCTCGGGTTGGGGGGGAGGGGTGGCCTTGCGTCGGTTGCTACATCTCTGGCTTCCTCTTCGGGTTTTTCGGGGTTCGGTGCCTTAGCGCCTACCCGGGCCCTCGCTCGATGTATTCACGGACACATCGTCTCTCGGCTGTGCTTTTTTGTCCAGTGCTCACTAGGTCGGCCAGGAGCGGTGGGGTCCGTCCTTGCGTCGGGCTCACAGCACGGTGTGGGAATTCGCGGCGGTCTAGCTGTCGCTTTGGACGGTTCGGGTTGCTCGGTGTTCGAACATCCAGCTTCATTCAGACTGTTCTCCGGTGATTGATTGCCTGAACCGCGGGGGTTCTTTTTGGTTCTTGCCTCTTTAGGGCGTGTCGTTTCAAGTGGTTCGTCTGCTGGTTTCTCAGGGTTTGACTCTCTGTGCAGTTCATATCCGGGAAGTGTCCAACGTCCTGGTGGACGGTCTCGGTTCATTCGGTATATCGTCCGAATGACGGTCAATGCCGACTCTTTAGTCTGCTCTGCCAGACGTACGGGCTCCCAGAAGTGGACCTCTTTGTTTCGGCGTGGTCTCGGCGTATCCCAATATATGTGGTGCCCTTTCCTGACACTGGAGCATTCCGGATGGATGCCTTTCAGCCTGTACCTCTTTTCCTTGGTCCAGCTGTTGCTTCGGGTAATAATTCTGTTGGAGTCCTTCCATGGGAGAGTAATCCTAGTGGTGCCTTGGTTTCAGGCACTGCTTATTGGTGAGCGAACCTAGGGCATTTTCCGCAGGTCTGCCTCTTCCAGCAGATCGGATCGGTTTGATACACGGCTGGTTCAGTCTTCTCTTTTGCTCTTCGCATCTGGTCTTTTTGATGCGGGTTTATCACCAACCTGATCAATTATGGGTATGGTGATCAAGTGGCTTTGTTGATGGTGTCCCACCTGAGAGCTTCGTCTCGGCGATAGTATGAAGGTTCCTGACGTTCTTTTCACCATTTTCTTTCTCTTCATAAGTTCTCTGATCTGGTTGTCTTGTCCATTCTTTCTTGGCTTTTTCAGGACCATCATTTAACCCCTTAACTGCGCGGCCTCCAAATATGACATTTCCCAGTGCGCAGGAAATAAAATCTCTGGAAAAAATGCTTTTCTGTTTTTAAAGTGTCAAAAACCCTTCCCTGAGTAAGGGTATAGTAACAGAAGATTGAAATTGTAAGTACTTTAGCTGCTATGGGGTCCATAAGTTCGTGCGTGACGTCATCATTCCTGGTCGCCCGTAGCATACACCCTCGGGGCAGGATGTGCGAGTTGTCGCGAATATATTTTTGTTCATTTTCTGCATACAGTTCCAAATGCATTTTATATGCTTTTATGTGCCAATCCTATGTATAACGAGCACATATTGTCCGAAGACACTGTTACATGCATGACACGTGTACACATATCCGGCACATATTTCCATTGTATTATGCTAATTTATGTATATATACAGTCTATTTACACACTATACACTATCACACACTATATACATTCACCATCAACACACTCAGAACTCTGCGAGTGTCAGCTGCCACACCAGCCAGTCCTCCCTCACTCCTCCAACATCTTACTCGCCAACATTACTCCTCCCACCATACTGTTATTGTTTGTATTACACGATTTACACTTGTTTTATATATCTATCTACATGTTTTATTCACCAGAACTATGCAAGTAAGCCGGTATTGTGTCCAAACTTTACAGTGGCCACCACACACTGCATGAGAAATCACACAGCAGTCAGAAGACGACGCTACGATTACATCACCTCCCTCACCAAAATAGCTCCTCCCAACATACTCCTGTGGCTGTTATTACACTATATACACACATTGTATATACCCATGTACAAATGTGTTCATCATAGCGAACCACTAAGCTAGTATGATGACCAAAACAAGAGTAGCTGCCACACGGTGAGGCTACCTCGATTCTCTCCCCTGCTCCCTCACCACAATTACTCCTCCCACAATACTACGCACATATGTACATGGGTATATACACACATTGTATATACCGCATGTATATATGTGTCCACCATAGAGAACCTCTAAGTTAGAATGATGAGCAAAACAAGAGTGGCTGCCACACAGTGAGGCTATCTCGATTCTCTCCCTCGTTCCCTCACCACAATTCCAACTGCCACAATACTACGCACAGTGCTTATTATCACCACAATCCTGCTGTTATCACAATACTGGTCACTAAATCCTGTAAATACATAATTGACCACAAGTTTATTTTGTAAAGGAACCTAAGAAGTCGTTTGAAGATTCCTAGATGGACGAAATAATGCTGTGGTGCTGTGGCTAGCGCTGTGAACATCGTGAACAGCGTTGAATCACTAATATTTGAACATTGTACCCAGTCATTATCACACTCAGGCTCTTCTGTAATACTATCATGGCTAAATAATACAAGTTATATATATATTTTGACATTATTAGGCAATGCTGTGGTCACAAGCTGAACAGCAGTGCTGTGAGCTCGTGCTGCATGCACCAGCCTTGGTTGCTCACTCACTACTGAGGCTCTCACATCCGGGAATGTGGACCACGATTTTTTTTAAAGATGGCGTCTGTTTACAAGAGCCCTGAGGAACCTGATGCGAACCCCATGTAGCCGCGGGAGTTTTGAATGGAATGTGAAAAAAACAAATTTCCGGAGGCCCTAGATGAAATTTCCTTCTCTAAACATCCAAAAATTATTATGGACTTACTTCTGTCTGCAGTGTTTTGTACTAATTTACTGTTGGTAACCAGTTCTTGCCTAATTTCTGCTTCTTGTTGGTCATTTCTGGTTTTAACTTCCGAACACACTTCTTTGATAGTCTCTTTCTCTTTTACAACTTCAGCATATGTCGCTTTTATTTCTTCTTTTATTCACCTCCTCTATGTGAGTTGTCAGTGAAGTTTCCAGTTGGAGATCCTTACCTAACTCTATGTTAGCCCTTAGGCTTGCTTGGAGTTGTTCACCATATGAGTCTATTTTCTTGTTTATTTCTTCAAAGTCACCACACTTCACTTTCCACGCCTCATTTTCTTTCGCTAGTTCCTTGATTTGCTCCTCCTGATTTGTTACCTTGTCTGTTAATGCAGTAATAATCTTACCTTGCTGAAGAATACTCCCTTTTAGAGTGCAAAGCTCACTCCAAAGAGTTCCATTGTCCTCTTCCAATTTAACACTTTCGCGCTCTCGGCGCTCAAAAAAAAAAATACCCCAGATGCTTTCGGCACTTCGCGCGCCTACGCGGTAAAACCGAAAAAGTGTACACTCTTTTGACTGTCCTGACAATAATTGAAGGCGCACGTATTTAAATTTGGTATCACTGTGTTGGCAATGAAATTGTCTATAAGAGCATACGTATAAAATGCCGCCCAAGCATAAGGAGTATCAACACCAAATAAAAAACTATGCAGATCACTCGCCGAGAGCGCCAAACAGCAACAAAATGTTTCCACTCTCTTAATGGTTGCGAAGCCTACAGTTGTCCTACATTGCTAATTTTGGTATCATTGGAATCGCAATAAAATTCTCTACACGGACATATGCATATGACTGTTTAATATAGGTAATTGCCCACCCGCAAGAGTGTGTGAAGTGGAGAGTAGTTAGCCGCGAGCGCACTGGCGAAAACACAGGGGGGAAATCATGCTTGGAAAGTTTATACGTTTCCTGACCCTACTTTTCTATGTACGTATTTCTTTTTTATACCAATGTGTTCGCAATAAATTTTCTATAAGATGAACTGTATAACATTTGTACAAAGCATGTGTAAGAGAAGCGCCAAATATAGAACCACGTCGCTCAGTATGCGTTCGCGGCAGAAACGAACGCATTGTTTTCGTTCGTTTGATGTTTGTCATGTTTATACTTGTTGAAACATTTTATAATTTGTATGACAGTGATCGCAGTAAAATTCCCTACACAGACATATACATAACACATACAAATATTTCCCACGTGTTGGATATATCAACGGCTAAAGGGAACCCACTGCCACACGCTCGCCACACCCCCAAACATACTTTGTGTATTTTTTTTTTTACTCATAGAAGTTTATGTGATATAATATTCATTCTGGTACCAAAAAAATCACAAATAAATTCTCTACAAAACAAAAGTATCCCCATCCATTTCGCTTAAAAAATGGAATTTATAGAAATATTTTTTCGATTGACGAGAAAAGTAGGCAGTTATGCGGAATCGTAAGAAAAACCAGTGACGAGTTATCTCTAATCGAAAGCGTGAAAGTGTTAAGCACTTCTTCATACTTCTTTTGCATATCCTCAATTATCTCTAACCTGCCTCAATAGGCAGCACTATTACACACACTCACACTCTGTGTGAGTGTGTGTTTGTGTGTGTTTTTATACAAAGTTCACAGTCTTCAGTATACAGAACACACAGGTTCTTGTACACTCACTAATGGTCGAGTGGTTTAAGGCACCGCGTACATCAATTGCAATGTGCTCATGGTGGTCCGGGTTCGAGTCACTTATGGGGTGTTGAGTTTTCAGTTGTGCGTGTGTGCCGCTCAGTCGATTAAAGCAGCGTCTGGGATCCTCTCGGACGTAGGTTTCGAACCCTCGTGACAGCCCTTGTGGATATGTTCGTTTATTATTTTTTAGGAAGAGTCATGGCCAGGTTGTGGGGACGACCACCGGAGTCCTGACAGTCTCCAGGTCCAGCCCACAATTTTATGCTTGGGGTGCCTGACAGCTGAGTGGACAGCGCTTCGGATTCGTAGTCCTGAGGTTCTGGGTTTGATTCTCGGTGGAGACAAATGGGGAAAATGTTTCTTATCCTCACCCGTTGGGGTCTCAACGGTCCTCAGGCCGACTCTATACACTTCCGATCTTCCTTGATTTTAACAAGTTAGGTGAGATGGTGGTGGAGGCCAAAACCGTCAGTAGCTTCAAAGCGTTATATGACAAAGAGTGCTGGGTAGACGGGACACCGAGCGTAGCTCTCATCCTGTAACTACACTTGGGTAATTACACACACATACATACATATATCCGAAAAGCTGTTTCAGGATCATTACCTCATTACATGGTAAAGCATTATTTTGTGTAGCCAGCAGTATGACGGTTAAATATGTGTGCCTGTTGGGCCTTAAAAAAAAAAAGAGATTGTTGTGCTTTGTTGTGTGTGAATTGTTGATACTGTATATATATTTGCATTTATTTTTTCAAGGTTGGTGTGGAGAGAGAAATGGTGGGGTCCGGTGTACGACAACTGATGCACAGACTGGTAGTGTGTCTGGATGGTGGGAGCTTGTTGCCTCTGCTTCCACCTGCTTCTCAAGCTCTTCTTCATACACCTTCACCAACTGTCCTTACAGAGTACCTTCCTCTCATCAATCAGATCATCACCAAATTTCAGGTAAAAGTCTGTGATGATGCTGTATCTTTCACTATATAACAAACCAGTTAAGTGAAAATGAAGGTATAAAATTATAGTTTAATCTATTGTTGTGTTAGGTAGTACTTCTTAATATTATTCATATCCACCCAATGTTGGGCCAGGCTTTGACTTTTGATAATTTAACTCGACTGACCATTTATGTAAATAGGTTTTTCAATTATAATTATAATGTTTATGTGTGTGTACATACATACTACATACATATCCTACCTAAATATATAATAATTTTTCTGTGTAGAGCCCCTCCAGCTCCCTGGAGCTTACCAGGCTGATATGTATGTATTAGACCGTGACATCAGTCAATTTGAATGGAGTTCTAGCTTGCCGGGGACCGCAAAATAAAACCTGGCCCCCTCAGAGAGGTACGAGGAGCAATAGCTCATAGAAACCCCCATGTGGTTGGAAGCATTCCATGTTTGCCATCGACCGAGATTGGCACCCAGAAAGGTAGTCGTCCCAAAACACACTCCACCTGGTTCAAAATTACTACCGAAAGCCGAACTATCAAACAGAACTCCCCAATCCGATAACAAGTAAACAAGCATGACGTCACAACTGCTGCTGCGTTGATGTCTGCATAGCTTCCCTCTCCCTAGGAAAAGGAAGGGGGGGGGAGCCCTAGACCCCTGCACTAGCCCTCCAGCTCCATTTCTGAGGCTGATATGTTGGGGTGCAGTCGTTCGACTCTGGCTCCTGTCTGTGCAGTGCTGTGCCTTTGCAATGTGGTTCTACTGTGTTGTGGTGTGTGAGCAGGAGTAATTTATGAAGTACTGGGGCTGCATGCTCCTAGGGCCTTCTTCCCTAGATGCCCTGTACAGTAAGTGCTTCCCTTGCGACTTGGGGTTATCTTCCACAAGTCGTTTGGGAACTACCTCTGTAGGGATCTTCTGCTGCTCAGTGATTGGCTGCCTGTGGGGTCAGCTGGGGTTTTCATAGCCGCTGTTTGACCTTGGATAGGAGGTAGTATCACAGCGCCCAGTTCTGTTCCTCCTGGAGACTTTGTACATTTTTTTTTTTTTTTTCCTGGTCGGTGGGGGGGGGGGAGTCTGCCCCTTGGTCATTTGTCCAAACTCTATTCTTTTGGTGGTTCCCCACTAGGTCCCCGTGATTGTACACGTCACACGGGTTCAGCTTTAATTGTTCTCGCAATAGTTTGGGCCAACTGGTTAGCAGCACTTTGCCCAGGCATGCCTTAACCGTCAGCCTAAGGGACCCTAGAAAACCCCATTGGGGGTCATTGGTTCGATGGATGTGTCCTCTGGGTCCCATTTTGCCTTGTGTGCAGTCTTGAAGGTTGCTCTGTCCTCTTGCCTTAGGGTGACATTCACCACCTCCGTCATGCTGCTTGTTGGGTCAATGACACCTTTGACCCGGAGTCCTGAGAGTGGTGTTCCTTGTTGGTATTCCAGCAATGCACTAGGTTGGTTACCTTTCTGAATGCCCCGCGGCTGCCCCGTTTTGGTTTTAGGGACTCGGACTTGGGGGTCCGAACTCCCTCGTCCTTTTCCTGCTGTTGCTTATTTTGCTACTCCCTTCCCCCTCCCCTGCTGCCAGCTCCCAAACATCTGAGGGATTTGGAGTCAGGGCAGGGATTACATGGTGGTGAGACTTGGGCGGTCTTGAGTTCTGCCCCATTCAGGGTCCTGACTGCTGAGTGGACAGCGCTCAGGAATCATAGTCCTAAGGTTCCGGGTTCGATTTCCGGTGGAGGCGGGGATTCGGACACTAAGCCCCGAAATCATCTCAAGATAACCTCAAGATATCCGGTTCGGTGACAGGCTTTTCAGCCTGCTCCTCCAGCTAGGGCGTTGTGGTCTTACCAGCGGACCCCTCCTTTTCCCAGGTTTTCTGGTGCATTCTGCCTTTCCTTTGGAGGGCAGATGTTTTGGAGGACATCTCTACCCCACATCCTGACATGGAGGATCCCAGGGTTGGGAAGGAGTTAATTTGGGGGACTTGGGTGTTGGTTCCCTCAATGTGGGGCTTGTTGTTGCAGAGGAGGGATTTTCTTCCACCACCTTCCCCTCCGTGTATGAATTTGCTGAGAGTTCTGTTTCTTCCCAGGTTGGGTTCCGGGTTCCCTTGAGTTCTTCGGTTCCTTCCTTACCAAGGTTTTCGGCTTCCGGCATCCCGCCTGAGGAGGTTTGGGAGGTTATTGTGATGTACCTCCTGCGTGACCCGGATTTTGTCTTGATAATGGACCCTTCCTCGTTTGAGTTCGGTTCTACTTTCCCTTATTGGGTGCGTTATGAGGTGGCGGGGTCATCCTTGTTCGCAGACTATCCTTTCTTTTCTTTGGGGGTGTGGCATACGTTCTGTCGGACCCGCATGCATGAATGGCGGAAAACTTCTACGGTTGTTCAGGTTTACCTGGGGGGGGGACAAGTTGGAGCATTCGTCCCCATTCTTCCTCAATGCGTGCTCATTCGCCGCCAATTGGCCATTCGGCGTCCCTGGTAGCTCAGGATTTGTGCGCCCAGGGGCACTTTTCGGTTTCGTGTTTCTTTTCCCTGCTCGAGCTGTCTTCAGAATGGCTTGAGGAGGATGTGGAGGTGCGCTTGGCTTGGCAGCTATGGTGTTGGCTGCTTTGTTGAAGTTGTTTGCTCTGATTCTGAAGGAGGCGGTGTGTCTGTTCTTTGCTTCTCACCTCGCGTGTCAGCAAGCTATGCACGCGAGGTGATTCACTCCCTGGAATCCGCATGGGCCCTTGCTCTTAGATTTACGTTGCCCTTTTGTCTGTTGCTGTTTGTAGATTCTGCGGTTTTGCAGTATCTGCGGGCGGCTTCGTCTAGCTGTCTTTCTATGTCCAACTTGTTGGTTCTCCAGGGTAGCCGTGGGGGTCTTTCCCGAAGGTGTCGTGCCAGGGTTCGGGGTTCCTTCAGTTGTGGTAGGCCAGTGGTGCCAGTTTCGAAGCCGGTGGCATCTGGTTGGTGCGGGGTTTGCTCTGTGCATCGGTTGGCTTCTAGTAAGGGGCATTGGCCCTTTCATGGGTCGCCCCGTTGACGGGGTGATTTGGGGGGGAGGCTTGCGCTGTTTACTCACGCCTGGTTCCACGATTTGTGGGTTTTTGTTTAGGGTTTGCATGGCAGGTCTCTTCCCATGTGCTTTGTCAGGTCATTTTGGAGTGGGTGCTCTTGGTTGTGGCTGAAACAACTTCGTCCCTCAGGAGGGATTCCCATCCCGAAATGGGACTGTGTGGATGTGAGGTTCATTCTGGACTTGTCCCATCTGAACCCCTGGTTCTTTTGCTCCTCCATTCGGATGACCTCTCTGTCCCAGGTCTGGTTTCTTTTAGAGCTGGATGCTTGGATGGTGACTCTGGACCTCTGGGACGCAAATTGGCACTTCCCAATTCATCCAGGATTTAGGGACCGGCTCAGTTTTGTTGTGGGGTGACATGCTTACCGATTTCGTTGCCTTCCATTCGGCTTGAATCTTGCTCCTCGTGTTTTCACATGCCTTACCTGGGTCGTGGTGACCCACTTGCTTCTGCTAGGAGTTCAGGTTCTGGCCTACCTCGACAACGGCTGGTATGGGCACCCAACCGGTTCACATGTCTGCTCGCCAGGGATTTGGATCTTTCCCAGTTCACTGGGTTTGGGTTCTTGGTGAACTAGAGGAAGTCCCATCTGGTTTCCTCAGGTTCAGACTTGGCTGGGTTTTGTGTAGGACTCTCAGACGGCTTCCTTGTCTCTGCTCTAGCGTTGTTTCTGTGGCTGCAGTCCCATCTTTGACTGTTTCTGGGGGGCTCCCGGGTCACTCGTCAGTTTTTCTCAAGCATCTGTGCAGGAGCTTGAACTTTGCTGTGCTAGTTTAGCTGCTGGGTCGGGTCTGGTTTCGGAGGCTGTTCCAGTTCCTTCAGAGACGTCCTTTCTGCCGCTCTAGCGATCGTTGGATTCAACCTCTGGGTGCCTTGCGTTGGCTGCTGTGTCGCCGGTTTCCTCTTTGGGCTTTTTGGGTTCACTGCCTTGGCGCCTACCCGAGCCCTAGCTCATTGTGTATGTGGATGTGTTGTCTGTTGGCTGGGGTTTTGGGACCAGTGCTCACCAGGCCAGCCAGGGTCGGTGGGAGTTGTCCTTCCGTCAGGCTCACAGCACCGTGCGGGAGTTCACAGCAGTTTGGCTGTCGCTTCAGAGGGCTTGTGTCGCTCAGGAGTCGACGATCCAGTTCCATTTGGCCTGCACTCCAGTGGTTCATTAAATGATCCGAGGGGTTTCGATGCAGTCTTTGGCTCTTTGGGGCTGGTCGCTTCAGGTGGCTCGTTTGCTGGGTTCTCAGGGTTTAGCTCTCCTGGTGATTCACATCCAGGGGATGTCCAATGTTCTGGCGGACATCCTGTCCCAGTTCATTCCCTTTTCCATGGAATAGATGGTTAACACCGACTCGTTCAGTTGGGTCTGCCGGACGTAAGGGCACCCGGAGGTGGACCTCTTCGCGTCAGCATGGTCGAGGCGTCTTCCAGTGTATGTGGCACCCTTTCCCGACTGTAAAGCCGTCAGAGTTGATGCTTTTTGGCAGGACTGGTCGAGGTAGGTGTTACCTGTACCACTTCTCAGAGGTTCAGCTGCTGCTTCGGGTTCTGGCTCGGTTGGAGACTTACCAGTGAAGAGTTGTCCTTTTGGCCCCTTGGTGGCCGGGCCAGCCTTGGTTTTCAGCTCTACTTGCCCAGTGCTCGAACCCGGGGATTTTTCCGTGGCTCTGCCTCCTTCAGCAGATCGGTCCGGTCCGGTACGTGGTTGATCAATCTTCTCTTCCGATGTTTCACATTGGGTCTTTCTGATGTGGGTTCATCACCACCTGTATGGTGATCAGGTGGCTTCGTTGATGATGTCCCACCCGAGTCCTTCGTTCTGGCAAGTATGATATTTCCTGGCGGTCTTTTCGTCTTTTTTTGTCTCTTTGTAGGTTGTCTTTGGTTTCGGATCAGGTTCTTTTGTCCTTTCTCTCTTGGCTGTTTCAGGACTGTCATCTTATGCCAAATACTGTCGCCTCATATCGTGCGGTGGTGGCGGAGCTTCTCTTGCTTGCGTTCAGGGTGGATGTAACTTCCTCTCCGTTTTGCAAGCTGTCTCGTGTGTTGTTTCACCTCCGGGCTGCTCATGCTCCACCTGAGCCGTCCTGGTTGTTGGACCGGGTGCTCTCTTTTCTCTCTTCTCCTCGGTTTGTAGTGGCCCATTCAGTTCGGGACTGTTTTGATTAGACTATTTTTCTTGTTGGCATTGGCCTCTGGGTATCGGATCGGGGAGCTTCATGCTCGCCCCTAGCACAGGGGTTTCTGCTCTTTCGGTCCTGGTGTAGGCTTGTTTGTTTGCAGTCATCTTCTTTTCTAGCGAAGAATGAGACTACTGCTTTCCAGAGGGGTCCTTGGGTGGTTGATGCTTGGTTGGTTTGGCCTAGGGTGCATCATGTGTTGGGTCCGGTTGCGGCGAAGAGCCGCAACCTAAAGCGCAACCGGGTCAACCCTAAAGCATAAAGGGATGCACTTTGGGTTGACCTGGTTTCTCTTCTTCCCTGTTCCAGGGCTTGGGTCTCCCAGGTTGTCCGCAGAGTTATTCGGTCCAGCCAGCCTGCGGTCTATCCTTGCGCCCATGTCACTAGCAAATTTGCTGCTTTAGCTGCCGTTTTTGGTAATATGTCTTGGGGTGAAATTCTGGCTCGAGGATTTTGCAGGTGGAACAGGGGCCTGGCCACCCATTACCCCGTAATGTTCACGGTCCTAGTTGGGCGCGTCGCTTTGGCTCACAGGTTGCAACCAGTTGTCTCGACTTCGAGTTCAGGTGCGAGTGGTGGCCGCCTCCTGGGTGAGTCCCTCTTTCCTTTTCTGTGGTTAGGTAGCTCCACAGAAAACCAGCGTTGAATGTAATAAAACGCCATTTTCTGGGTGAGTCCCAGAGGCTTCCCGACAACAATCCTTCCCTCCGGTTGGCTGTTTTCGCATTTCTTGATATTCAGCCTCTGAACTAGGGTTGGATGGCCAGCAAGGGTATCATGGGGCTTTCCCCTCCCAGGGAGGGGCGAGCTGCGCAGACAGCGACGGTTGTGACGTCATGCTTGTTAGTTTGTTTTGGGATTGAGGAGGTCTGCTTAACAGTTTGACTTTCGGTTGCAATCTTTAACAAGGTGAAGTTTGTTTTGGGATGCCTACCCTTTTGGGTGCCTAACCAGGTCGATGGCAGACGTGGAATTCTTCCAACCACATAAGAATTTCTATAGGAAATTGCTCCTCGTGCCTCTCTGAGGAGGGCCAGGTTCTGGCTTGTTGTCCCCGGTAGACTAGAACTCTAATCAAATTGATGGATGAAACGGTCTAAAACATACATATCAGCCCGGTAAGATCCAGGGACCCTCTGGGACTCGCCCAGAAAATGGCGTTTCATTACATTCAACGGTGATTTTTTCCAGAAAGATATCAGTCCGTTTTTGGGAAGCATATTTGTTCCTCTGGTGTGTGCCATGTTCACAGCACTCTCAGAACCTGTGGAGGACAATGATGAGGAAGAGAAGAGGACAAGAAGACTTCTTCAACGCAACTATTATCTCTTCCTAACAACTATTGTGTCAAATAATCTCTTGGATGTCATGGCTTCTCTAGACTCTAATATTTTACACCAGGTCAGTACAGTATTTCTTATTTTAAATATTCCCTTCCTTGTAGCATTGCCTTTTTCTTGTTTTGTTGTCCTCTTACCCAGCTGATTCTAGCTTGAGAATACTAATGGACTATGGTGCATGGCTTTGTTTATGGATAGTGATTTAGTTTGATATTGTATTTTTTTGTTTCTGGTAATATCTCCCATGTTTCACCAGATTTAGAATTATGAATTTGTTTAATTAGTATTATAAGTAGGATGCTTTAAAAATTGTAATATTTAATTCTGAACTTGCATTCTGCCACTGCCATGGGTGCAGCTGCATGCTCTTGTTCCCACTCTACTGTTTTGGTAGTAGATGCCTTCGGACTCGCAGTCATTTGGCCTCTGTCTTGCATTTCTTTAGTCTTCTGGAGCTGTTTTCGGATTTTCTTTTTGAGGATGTGGGAGCAGAGGATGGGGGGGCCTGGGCTGTGGTCATGGTCTCAGCGACTTCTGCGTTGTCCACCTTGCTGCTGCTGTTTGTGTCGATCCTCTAGGAGGCTATTTTCTATGTTTTCACCACTCGTCTCGCGTGTAGACAGGCTGTGCCCGCTCTGTCGTTGGCTTCGGTTTGTGCCTTGGCTCTTCCCTCTTCTTCGCCATTTTATCCTCAGTTGTTCCCGGAGGACTGTGTTGCTCAGTTTCTGTAGGTGGCTTCTGCTGTTGCCGGCCTATTTTGGCTTTGTTGGTTCTCCAGGGGGAAGGCATTCCCGGCCTCCCCACAATGGGTGTGCCAGGGCTCAGAACCTCATTTGGTCGGGGTAGGCCTATGGTGTCAATTTGAGTCGGTGAGCTCCCTGATGTCTTCTTCGTCTGGTCGGCGCGGTGTTGACTCGGTACGTGGGTCCGCATCTTGGGGTTCACGTCAGCCCTTCGTGGGTTGCCCCGTTGTTGGGGTGATAGGGAGTTGGCTCACTCTTTTTGCCAATGCCTGGTCCTACACCTTGTGGGCTTGTTGGGTCGTTGTTATGGCCTTCGGTGGCATTGGGTGACCATAGTGGCGGAAAGTAAGTTCGCAGGGTTAGAGTACCATCAGTAGAGTCCAACCCTGGGACTCTACTGATGGTGCCTTTGCCACTCTAAGACCACACCCCCTACAATGACTCATTATCTTCTGTTGCTTAGGTACTCCCTTATCTAATGGCATACCTTCCCTTTTACTTCTGCCTGCATCTCCAGCTTATGCACTATTCTCCTATGGGGTACTTTGTTAAAGGCTTTCTGGCAATCTGAAAATATGCACCCTGCCCACCTTTCTTTTTCTTGTCTGATTTTTGTTGCCTGGTCATACATAGAATTCAATCAATCCTACGATGCATTTTTTTTTCTGTGGGGAGCCGCTTCAGGTCCCTGGAGCTATCGGGCTAATGTGTGATGTATATTAGACCGGGTCATTAGTCTGTGGAGTTCAGCCTACTGGAGACCACGAGCCAGAACTTGGGCCCCCTCAGAGAGGTTTTAGGGAGGAATGGCTCTGGAACCCCCCAACCCCCTGTAGGTGGGGAGGGGGGTTTCCTTATCTGCCATCAACCGGGGTTAGGCACCCAGAAAGGTAGGCATAATAAAACAAGCGCCACATAGTAAGAAAAGTACAACTAAAAACCGAAAAAAGAGGTAGAACTCCCTCCAGTCCCAAGGAAACAAGCAAACAAGCACACGTCACACTCTACTGCCGCATTGCTCATCCGCACAACTCTTCGCTCCCCGCGGTGGCTATCCAGCACTCCATTTCGTTCGTTAATGTGGTCTGTCGCGGACGTCTTCTCTGGCCTCGAATTCCAAAGCAGTGTTTTTCCATTGTGGCGACCTCTGCAGTGTTACTGTGTGTGGTAGCCTTGTGTCCTCATCTGTACTGGGGCTGCATGTGCTTAAGGGCATCCTTCCCTAGGCACCCTGTGAGTACTGTCCATGTGTGTTTGGGTTCCCTTCCCAAGTGCATTCGGGAAACCATTTCCGTAGGGGGGTTTTTGCTACTTGGCATTTACCCTGCGCTTGGGACCAGCTGGGGTTTTGTGGCCCTTGTTTGGCCTTGGGTAGGGAGTGGTGTCATGCTGGTTGAGGCAGCAAGGTGTTGTGTAGCTTGCCTACCTATGTGGCGGCCAGTTCCTGTTTCCTCTGGGGACATTGTGCTTTTGCGGGGGGTTTTCTTTTGTATTTGTTTTTCTTGCCTGGTGTGGCTATAGTTCCGCTAATAATATTTTGGTGGCCCTCTGCTAGGCCTCTTGTGTTGTACACGTCTCAGGGGTTTCAGCGTTTGGATCTTTCCCTTGTTAGCTTTGAGTCTTAACTGGTGAGCAGGCTTGCCTAGGTTTCCTGTAGCAATCAGCCTAAGGGCCCTAGAAAACCCTGTCGGGACTTGGTGGACCTATGGATGCGTCTTCCGAGTTCCAGCCTACCTCGTGCGGGTTTGAAGGTTGCTGTGTGTCCATCGCATCTGCCTTCTTCATGCTGCCTTTTTGGTCTACGACACCTTTGACACAGTCTTGCGAGTCATGTTCTCTGCTTGTTCTCCAGTACTGTTCTGATGACATTACTATTAGAGTACAGGCAGCATCCACGTTGCATGCTATGTTTAGGTTGCCACAATGCGCTAGGTTGGTTCCCCATTTGGATGCCCTGGGTCTGCCCCATTTTGGTTAAGCTTTATCCGCCCTTCAACCACCAGCTTCCCGGGGAGGCGGCTCGCTCTGTTTGCTCGCGCTTAGTCCCATGATTTGTGGGTGTTTTTGTGGTGGTTTTTGTGGTGGCCTGTGGTGGCTTGGGCAGCTCCTCCTCCTTTGGGGGGTTCGGGGCAGGCTTCTTTCCCTGCACTTCATCAGATCATATCGGAGTAGGTGCACTAGGGCATGGTCGAAATGACCCCGTCCCTCAGGTAGATTCCTGCGGTTCATTCTGGACTTGAACCGTCTGAACCCTTGGATTCCTTACCCGTCCTTTCCGATGACCACTCTGTTTCAGGTCCAGCTTCTTTTGGGAGCTGGGTGCTTGGATGGTGTCCCTGGACCTCACAGATACGTTCCTATTCAACTGGGGTTCAGGGACCGGTTAGGTTTTGTTGTGGGGTGTCAGGCCTACTGCTTTCGTTGCCTTCCTATTGGCTTGAATATGGCACCTCGTGTATTCACGCATCTTACCTGGTTCGTGGTGATCCATCTGCGTCTGCTAGAGGTTTGGGTCCTGGCTTACTTCGATGACTGGATGGTGTGGGCTCAAAGTCGGTCTGCTTGTCTGCTCGACAGGGGTGTTGTTTTTTCCCAGCTTGCCGGTTAAGGATTCCTGATGAACTGGAGGACGCCAGATCTGGTTCCGTCCCAGGTTCAGACCTGGCTGGATCTTGTTTGGGACACTCGTGGGTTGCTTGAGCAGTTGTACAGGAGTTTGATCTTCGCCGCGCTGGTATACCCGCTGGGGTCAGGTTTGGCTTCGGAGTCTGTTCTGGTTCCTTCGGGGATGCCCCTTCTGCTTCTTTCGCGATTGCTGGGTTCGTACTCTGGGGGGCCTTATGTTGATTGCTGCCTCGCAGAATTCCTCTTTGGGGTTTTCGGGATTCAGTGTCTTGGCGCCTACCCGAGCCCTTGCTCAATGTGTTCACGGATGCGCCGTCTCTAGGTAAGGGCTTTGTGACCAGTGCCCACCAGGCCGATCGGGGGTGATGGGATCCGTCCTTCCGTCGGGTTCACAGCACAGTGCGGGAGTTCATGGGGGTTTGGCTGTCGCTTCGGAGGGTTTGGGTTGCTTGGGTTTCAACCATTCCGCTCCATTTGGACTGTTCTCAGGTGGTTTATTGCCTGAACCACGGGGGTTCCGTTTGGTCCTTGCCTCTTTGGGCTGGTCGCTTCGAATGGGTCGTTTGCTGGCCTCTTGGGTTTTGGTACTTTGTGCAGTTCATATCCAGAGTGTGTCCAACATCCTGGCGGACAGCCTGTCTCAGTTCCTTTCCCTGTCCATGGAATGAATGGTCGACCCTGCCTCCTTCAGTTGGCTCTGCTAGACGTACGTTCTCGCGGTAGTGGATCTCTTCGTGTCTGTGTGTGTCTCGGCGTCTCCCACTCTATGTGGCGCCCTTTTCCTGACTGCTAGGCTTTCACGGTTTACGCCATTTGGCAGGACTGATCGAGGTGGGATTACCTGTACCTCTTTCTCCCGGTCCAGCTGTTGCTTCATGTTCTGGCTTGGTTGGAGTTCTACCACTGGAGAGCAGTCCTTGTGGTGCCTTAATTCCAGGCGCTGATTGCTCGGTGTGTGATCTCGGGGTGTTTTCTGCAGCTCTGCCACTTCCAGCAGGTCGTCTCGGTCTGGTACACGGCTGGTTCGGTCTTCTCCTCCGCTCTTCGCGTCTGATCTTTTTGATGCGAGTTTATCACAATATGATGATCAGATGACTTCATTGTTGGTGTCCCACCTGAGAGCTTCGTCTCGGCGACAGCATGAAGTTTCCTGGCCTTCTTTCTGCCATTTTCTCCCTCTTATGTAGGTTGTCTTCTATTTTTGCTGATTGGGTTGTCTTATCCTTTCTGTCTTGGCTTTTTCAGGACTGTCATTTAATACCTAATACTGTCGCCTCGTATTGTGCAGCGCTGGCATGCCCTATCCAGCTTGCGTTCAGGGTGGATGTCACTTCTGTCCCGTTCCGTAAGCTCTCTTGTGGTTTTATTTCACCTCCAGCCTGCTCATGTGCTGCCTGAGCCATCCTAGTCCTTGGACAGGGTTCTCTCATATTTCTTCTCCTTGGTTCATTGTGGCCCCTTCGGTTCAAGATTGTTTTGCCAAGGCCCTGTTTCGGTTGGCATTGGCCTCTTGGGGGTCAGGTCAGTGAGCTTCATGCTCTCCCCTGGCCTGGTGCAGGGGTTTCTGCACTTTTGGTCCTGGTGGTCGGTTTGTTTGGTTGCAGCCTTCTCCTTCTTTTCTGGCAACAAATGAGGTGGGTGCTTTCCTGAGGGTCCTTGGGTCATTGATGCTTAGTTGGTCAGGCTGGGGGTGCATCGTGTGTTGCGTCCGGTTGCGGCTCTTCGTCGTTATCTGCGTGCTTCGGCTTTGGTGGGTGGTGATGTGCTTTGAGTTGATCTGGGTTTCCTCCTTCCCTGTTCCAGGGCTCGGGTCTCCCAGGTCGTCCACAGGGTTATGAAGTCTAACCAGCCTGCGGTCTATCCTTGTGCCCATGGCATTAGGAAGTTTCCTGTTTGGCTGCCGTGTTTGACAACATGTCTTGGGCTGATACTCGGGAGCAGGAATTTTGGAGGTCGAACAGGGTCCTGGCTGCCCGTTATTTGGTTAACATTCCTGCTCTTGGGAGTTCCTTTGTTGCTTTGGGTTGCAGGTTGCAGCCCATTGTCTCGACTTCGAGTTGAGGAGTGTGTGGCGGCTGCCTCCCAGATAAGGCCCTCTTTTCCTTTGGTGATGTAGCTCTAGGGAGCTGAAGGGGCTCCCCACAGAAAACCAACGTTGAATGTAATGAAACGCCATTTTCTTGGAGAGCCCCGTAGGCTTCCTGGCAACCCTCTCTTCCTCCAGTTGGCCATTTTTCGTGTTGTTTGATGCTTAACTTCCGAACTGAAGTGTTGGGTAGCCGGCATGCGGATGACCGGGGCTTCCCCCCTCCCTCTTTCGGGAAGGGAAGGGCTGCATGGATGAGCGGCAGTGGAGTGTGATGTGTGCCTGTTTGCTTGTTTCCTTGGGATTAGAGAGAGTTCTGCCTCTCTGTTTGGTTTTTAGGTGGACTTTTCTTACTATGAGGTTTGTTTTGTTATGTTTCATTGCCTTTCTGGATGCCTAACCCTGGTCAATGGCATAAGGAAAACCATCAACCACAGGGTTTTTTCCAGGGCCATTGCTCCCTGAAACCTTTCTGAAGGGGCCAGGTTCTGGCTCGTGGTTCCTGGCAGGCTGAACTCCATAGACATATGCCTCCGGTGTAGTTTATCACATATTAGCCTGATAGCTCCAGGAACCTTTGGGGTTCATCCAGAAAATGGCATTTCATTACCTTCAATGCTGTTTTTTTTTCTAATTATCAGGGGAAAGCGCAAAGCCTTTATGACTATAGCAATTGGAAGGGGTCAGGATAAGGATTTGGGATGGGACAGTGGGATGGATTGGTGCCCAACCACTTTGAAGGTCGGGGATTCACTTCCGACCTGCTTGAAGCGAGACCGTCGCTTTACCATCCAGTCAAAGTGGCTGGTCCTACGAGGCAAGATTTGCCATCCCTGAACCCATACCGATGATTTGTTACAAAGTTCTTTTGTTCCAGATGTTATACTAGTTTTTTTTTAACAATCTTCTCCATTCATGAAATGCTCCTTACTTAAGAATGCACTTAGACAGGTTTTTACTCATACTTGGAGTTGAGGAGACTGTGAGGATCTTTGGGTAGGAGCTTATTGTGGTAGGCCTTGCTTCAGTTTGTTGTTACTGTAGTGTGAGTATTGCTTGCTAATGCCTCTCATACCAAGTAATGTTTGTAATGGCTTTAGCTTTGTATTAATGTGCTTTCCAGCTGGAATAAGTATTTTTCAGTATATCCCCTAACACCAGTATAACTACATGTAATAATTATAAAAATTCCATTCTGTGCTGGAGCATAATGTTGACCTGTGATGACTGTGAGATATCTTAACCAAGAGTTCAGTTGATTCTTGCCTTAGAGAACAACTGAATGTACTGCTCAGAAAAGAGCGTTTCACATGCTATCGCTTGTACTGATTATAATATAATATAATATATAATAAGTAGTATTGTACAGTATCTTAATTTTGACTTTATATTTCATAGGTCTTGATGTCAGTAGTTCAAGGTGCAGTGGAGTTTCCTGACCCAGTAGCTCAAAAGAATTGTTTTGTTATCTTAAGACGTCTGACAGAAACATGGGGTGTTAAAGATGTGGGTCCTCCTGGCTTTGTTGAATTTTTGTATACACAGGTAAGTTAAATACTTATTTTTACAGCAATATTATTTATTATCAAAATATTACGCTACTCATATATAGAAATGTAAAGTGACACGAGTTTTCAAAGATGGCATGCTTAATTTAGAGTGAACCTCACTTTCTGTGAGGGATATGTTCCTGGCAAATACTGAACTGAAAGTTATTTGAGAAAAAAAAGGATGTATTCCAGAGACATAAGTCTACGTTTCTTCCACTTCTCTCTTACTAAAACACTCCGGCACAAGTCACAGTCTTAGCGCCGTATACTGCATTAAAATCTGTAAGACGCTCTCGACACCCATCCCTGACATCTCTTTCTTTCTTGACCCCGATAAGATATTGTCTCTTTACACCATAGAGAGAGAGAGAGAGAGGAGGGGGGAAGAGAGAGAGAGAGGAGAGAGAGGAGGGGGGAGAGAGAGAGAGAGAGAGAGAGAGGAGAGAGAGAGAGAGAGAGAGGAGAGAGAGGAGAGAGAGAGAGAGAGTGAGAGAGAGAGAGAGAGAGCGAGTAGCGCGCGCGCCGGCCCTGTCATTTCGAGGCATTAAATATCCAAAAACTAGAAGATAGAAGAAAAAGATCACTACGTTCAAAATAGTAACGGGAATCAATAAAATTGATAGGGACGAATTCCTGAGATCCAAAACTTCAAGAACAAGAGATCATAGATTTAAACTAACGAAACAAAGCTGCCAGAGAAATATAAGAAAATTCACTTTTGTAAACAGAGTGGTAGACGGTTGGAACAAGTTAAGTGAGAAGGTGGTGGAGGCCAAGACCGTCAGTAGTGTCAAAGCGTTATATGACAGAGTGCTGGGAAGACGGGACACCATGAGCGTAGCTCTCATCCTGTAACTACACTTAGGTAATTACTTATCTAAACATTATTGATTATTGCCAGCCATAAAAATATACTGTATAAAGTAGATAAGAGCAAAATGTTTGGAAGGTGCCATGATTTAAGAATGCAATCCAAAGTGTTTAAATACTTGAGACCTGTTTGAGCTTGCAAATAAATGAATATAAAAAAAAGCAAGCCAGGAAGATTGTAGCACTGTCTGTCACTGGATACTCAGAAAGTGCCAAATATCACTCAGGGTGCCAGTATGAGACCAAATGGACATAATGTGAGTGACACCTAAGATATAGTGTTTATGGAATATATTTGAATGGCTTGATGTTGTTATTTATCTTCAAAGATCCCTTCTGTGTGGGTTGCCTCAGCCCCTCCTGCCCCTCTCTGGGTGTTGTACATGCGAAGGAGACACAAACATAGGGTACCCATTATGGGCATTAGACCCACTCTGAAGGGGGTCACTTGTGAGGGGCAACCAGCCACCCCCCCCCCCCCCCTTCCTGAGTTGGACACTGATAGAAGATCGGGCTCTGTACTCCTTGTTACATTGGGCCCAGACATCTTGGATATTCCAACTGATCCTCTCCATTCCTCTACTTCTTCCTTGGCAAGGTCAAACCCCAAGTTCCCTGTGATAACTACCTCATCACCTGGAAGGGCTTCATTTTCAGTTGTGCCATTTGCATCTTTTACCCCCCCTTCCCCTCCTTGTTCAGACAATGTCACAAAAACATAGAAGATACGATGACCAAATCACACATCAGAAGATGGAGAAACGATGACATTTTGGCCTGTCCTGGACCATTATCAAGTCATGTGTGTGTGTAATTACCTAAGTGTAATTACCTAAGTGTAGTTACAGGATGAGAGCTACGCTCGTGGTGTCCCGTCTTCCCAGCACTCTTTGTCATATAACGCTTTGAAACTACTGACGGTCTTGGCCTCCACCACCTTCTCACTTAACTTGTTCCAACCGTCTACCACTCTATTTGCGAAGGTGAATTTTCTTATATTTCTTCGGCATCTGTGTTTAGCTAGTTTAAATCTATGACCTCTTGTTCTTGAAGTGCCAGGTCTCGGGAAATCTTCCCTGTCGATTTTATCAATTCCTGTTACTATTTTGCATGTAGTGATCATATCACCTCTTTTTCTTCTGTCTTCTAGTTTTGGCATGTTTAATGCTTCCAACCTCTCCTCATAGCTCTTGCCCTTCAGTTCTGGGAGCCACTTCGTAGCATGTCTTTGCACCTTTTCCAGTTTGTTGATGTGCTTCTTAAGATATGGGCACCACACAACAACTGCATATTCTAGCTTTGGCCTAACAAAAGTCATGAACAATTTCTTTAGTATATCGCCATCCATGTATTTAAATGCAATTCTGAAGTTAGAAAGCATCGCATAGGCTCCTTGCACAATATTCTTTATGTGGTCCTCAGGTGATAGTTTTCTATCTAGAACCACCCCTAGATCTCTTTCTTTATCAGAATTCTTTAAAGATTTCTCACATAATATATAGGTTGTATGGGGTCTATGTTCTCCTATTCCACATTCCATAACATGACATTTATTAACATTAAATTTCATTTGCCAGGTGGTGCTCCATATACTTATTTTGTCCAGGTCTTCTTGAAGGGCATGACAATCATCTAAATTTCTTATCCTTCCTATTATCTTAGCATCATCAGCAAACATGTTCATATAATTCTGTATACCAACTGGTAGATCATTTATGTACACAATAAACATCACTGGTGCAAGAACTGAACCCTGTGGTACTCCACTTGTGACATTTCTCCATTCCGATACATTGCCTCTGATTACTGCCCTCATTTTTCTATCAGTCAGAAAATTTTTCATCCATGATAGAAGCTTACCTGTCACCCCTCCAATATTTTCCAGTTTCCAGAACAACCTCTTATGTGGAACTCTGTCGAAAGCCTTTTTTAGGTCCAGATAGATGCAGTCAACCCAACCATCTCTTTCCTGTAATATCTCTGTGGCTCGATCATAGAAACTGAGTAAATTCGATACACAGGATCTTCCAGATCGAAAACCATACTGTCTGTCTGATATTATATCATTTCTCTCCAGGTGTTCTACCCATTTAGTTTTGATTAGCTTTTCCAATACTTTCACTATTACACTTGTCAATGATACAGGTCTATAATTGAGGGGATCTTCCCTGCTGCCACTTTTGTAGATTGGAACTATGTTAGCCTGTTTCCACACGTCTGCTACGATTCCTGTACACAGGGATGCCTGAAAGATCAGGTGAAGTGGAATGCTGAGCTCAGATGCACATTCTCTCAGAACCCATGGTGAAACGCCATCTGGGCCAGCTGCTTTGTTCTTCCCGAGCTCCTTTAGCATATTTTCCACTTCATCTCTAGACACCTCTATCCGCTCTATGTTGTTCTCTGGAATTCTTATTGTGTCTGGTTCTCTGAAGATTTCATTTTGTACAAACACACTTTGGAACTTTTCATTTAATGTTTCACACATTTCCTTTTCATTTTCCGTGAATCTGTTTCCCATTTTCAACCTCTGTGTGTGTAATTACCTAAGTGTAGTTACAGGATGAGAGCTACGCTCGTGGTGTCCCGTCTTCCCAGCACTCTGTCATATAACGCTTTGAAACTACTGACATACCATATGTTTTGACACACAATTCTGTATACCAACTGGTATACAGAATTGTATACCAGTTGTATACATATATAATACATATATAATTGTATACCATATACATATATAATTGTATACCATCATTTATGTAGACAATAAACATCACTGGTGCAAGAACTGAACCCTGTGGTACTCCACTTGTGACATTTCTCCAGTCCGATACAGTGCCTCTGATCACAGCCCTCATTTTTCTATCAGTCAGAAAATTTTTCATCCATGTTAGAAGCGTACCTGTCACTCCTCCAATATTTTCCAGTTTCCAGAACAACCTCTTATGTGGAACTCTGTCGAAAGCCTTTTTTAGGTCCAGATAGATGCAGTCAACCCAACCATCTCTTTCCTGTAATATCTCTGTTGCTCGATCATAGAAACTGAGTAAATTCGATACACAGGATCTTCCTGATCGAAAACCATACTGTCTGTCTGATATTATATAATTTCTCTCCAGGTATTTTACCCATTTAGATTTAATTATTTTTTCCAATATTTTGACTATTACACATGTTAATGGTACCGGTCTATAATTAAGGGGGTCTTCCCTGCTTCCACTTTTGTAGATTGGAACTATGTTAGCCTTATAGTGTGTGTAATTACCTAAGTGTAATTACCTAAGTGTAGTTACAGGATGAGAGCTACGCTCGTGGTGTCCCGTCTTCCCAGCACTCTTTGTCATATAACGCTTTGAAACTACTGACGGTCTTGGCCTCCACCACCTTCTCACTTAACTTGTTCCAACCGTCTACCACTCTATTTGCGAAGGTGAATTTTCTTATATTTCTTCGGCATCTGTGTTTAGCTAGTTTAAATCTATGACCTCTTGTTCTTGAAATTCCAGGTCTCAGGAAGTCTTCCCTGTCGATTTTATCAATTCCTGTAACTATTTTGTATGTAGTGATCATATCACCTCTTTTTCTTCTGTCTTCTAGTTTTGGCATATTTAATGCTTCTAACCTCTCCTCGTAGCTCTTGCCCTTCAGTTCTGGGAGCCACTTAGTAGCATGTCTTTGCACCTTTTCCAGTTTGTTGATGTGCTTCTTAAGATATGGGCACCACACAACAGCTGCATATTCTAGCTTTGGCCTAACAAAAGTCATGAACAATTTCTTTAGTATATCGCCATCCATGTATTTAAATGCAATTCTGAAGTTAGAAAGCATAGCATAGGCTCCTTGCACAATATTCTTTATGTGGTCCTCAGGTGATAGTTTTCTATCTAGAACCACTCCTAGATCTCTTTCTTTATCAGAATTCTTTAAAGATTTCTCACATAATATATAGGTTGTGTGGGGTCTATGTTCTCCTATTCCACATTCCATAACATGACATTTATTAACATTAAATTCCATTTGCCAAGTGGTGCTCCATATACTTATTTTGTCCAGGTCTTCTTGAAGGGCATGACAGTCATCTAAATTTCTTATCCTTCCTATTATCTTAGCATCATCAGCAAACAT